GTGTGTGACATAGATTTTCAACCAATGATGAGACGCCACGTCGCGCTGGTCCGAACTACGGTAATCCTTGAGGTAAAAATCTGCCGGCGTAATGTTCTATTGCTTTTATCAATATACAGTCTGAATGTTGTCGGTCGAGCGGTCCCGAAACGCCCTAAGATCCAAAAAGACGTGGCTCTCGCTATGTCGTCAAATCAACGTCTGTTAGATCTCACCGGTTGAGCGGTTCTTAAACTACCCTAACATCGAAAAGACGTTGCTTTCGCTCTCAGGTGGTCGAGAGGTTGCGTCGTCAAAATAGCACCTGGCCCGAAAGAAGGTTTCAGGATTGTTCTTGGTGGTAAATTACGGTGAGGAAAAAAACTGCCGGCGTAATGTTCTATGACCCACTACTTTCAAGGCCAAGAGGTCTTCGTTCCGCTTGCATCACCTTATTTGCACTGCGTTGGACGAATTTGAACTCCAGCATGAAACGATGTACGCCACTCAATGTGGTTATCGCCTCGACGTCGTGGTACCACGACAAAAACTTGCATTCGAGATCAATCTACCTGATTGCTATCAAGCATTGGAGCCAAGTGACGAGGACAACGAACCAAAAACTTTTGCATTTGTTGATCTCAAGGCGCGACACCTCGAGTTGTTAGGCTGGACAGTCGTTCAACTTCACGCTGCCCGGTTCTTACAGCTTAAATCTTTAGAGGATCGCAAGATGCATCTCAAAAATCTCCTAGAAATCGCCACCTGTCGCGAACAAAAGACGAGATCAGCTAGGAAATAGAGCAATTTTGAGTCTAGACGCCAATAAATCTGCGTAGAGAAAACCATAGTCTAATTATTTTCCGCTCTAAAATATAGTCGCGCAAATGCCGATCAAAGCGCATTATTTCGATGACTTAACTTTCTTTTTCTTGTGTTTCTTCTCCTTCCTGTTCTTTCTTTCAGATTTCTCTTCAAGATTATCGTCTATAACAGGTTCCTCAACAATCGTTTTGTGTTTCTTGTGCTTCTTCTCCTTTTTTATTTTGCGCTTCGGTTCCTGGTTCATCTCGTCGTTGATCTCGTTTGCAACCGCTTTGACTTTCTCATTTTCAAGTTTCCGCTTCTTACTTTTCCTCTGGGAACCAACACCTTCGGCCTCCATAACAGCGACAGCTTCAGAATCAGCATGTTTCATCTCAAGCTTCTCCTTTTTAGCGCGTTTTTTTTCCTTTTTTGACAACTGATTGTTGTCATTCTCATTGTCGACATCCTTCATTTTCTTTTTGCTTTTCTTCTTCTTTGCCTTTTTCACATTTACTTCGCTCTTGTCAGCCTCGTCATCCTCATTCTCTTCCCAGTGCTTATGCTGATAAGATCCTTCACCCTGACGCACGAACATGGAATACAATCCGTTATTAGGCAGTCCATCTGAGCGCTTCACTCCTTTTCTGCCACCAATTGACGCGAATCCTAAGCCACCCTACAAGTATAAATATTGTTGAATTTTCAAATTGTTTTTGGCAAAGTTATAGCTTGCAATAAAAACCTTCTTTCCACCGGGGCGTAGCTTGGCAAGCATATCATGAAGCCGGATCAGCTTCTCTTCCTCCATCTTTGTAGCCACCAATGCTTTAATGTAGCTTTTCTATGTAGATTACATAAAATAAAACTCAATTATTATCATTTCTTTTCAAAACATTTGACAAGTTTCTTAAGGTTTCTACAAGTAGCAAACATGTATGGGAGGTATACTAAACAATAGGTATGGGTGTTACTTGTTGTCCTTAGGAATTCATGCTTTGTTTAAATATCCCTTACAATATTTGTAAGATGCACCAGGGGTACCGAATTCAGAGCTTTCAGGTAAAATTTGCGTAATGCCGCACAGCGGTATAACTTTTAATTGATCCCAACGTCTAGCGACGATGACTTGGAAGGCGAAGAATCCGCGGAGATCCATGACACGAATAGCAGTACAGATTGAAAGTTGAACCAATTCATGATTCTTAGACTTTCAAAAGTGTGAGGATATGCGTCAAGCGAATTACTCTCATCTAGCACTCGTGAAAGTTGATACTATAGCTCCTGTACATACATTTATCAGCGCAAACACAAGCATTGCATAGCTGCTACTCACATATATAGTGTAGCAGGCTAACGAAAATGGCCACCACCTTCGACAGAATGCTTAACTTTGAGATATCGTTCCCTTGCTTATCCTGGTAGTACTTGCCGTCAATTCGATTACCGAGTCTGATCAGATTTTTAAGATGTGAGGATGTAACACTAGCTGTTTGAAGTAGCTATCCTTCTGACAGCTAGACACGATTGGTAAGCTCATCTCATAGGGTGGTCACACAAATTCTATGAGTCACAACTTCGTGTGTACGAAATGCACGACAATTCACTGCACTACGCGACGTCCTAATTGGAGATTGTTAGTGTTGATTCCCGCCTAAAGCATGCCCAAATTTAGCCCCCCTCCCTTCTCGAGTAAAGAAATCCAACATCCTACGTCTTAAAGTTGATTAAGGCATCACCGTCGCGAAAGCTGAAACTTTCGTGTGTCTTACTGTTATTTTTTTAAGCTGCTGACGATCTCCAGGCACCTGATAACCTCTTTTAGCCCCTGATTCGCCAATCACTCTACCACATGCACAGAAAATGCCTTTTTCCAACAAGTTCTCGGTAACATACACACAAAAGACGGGAGCAGAGTCGAGAGCCTTTCAAAAAGATATATACTCGCTTGCTCTGCAGCTCATGAGTGGCATGCGAATGGAATCAAGTCTTGCTCAAAATCTAAACCTATCTATGTTACTGATAATTATGGTATGTAAACTGCACAGCGTGAAGTTAGCAGCCCACGTGTATCTTTTCGGAGTGCCGTTTCTTTCATCATACTAGTATTTCTCATTTTACTTCATCATAGTGCCATACTGTGCCATTTTAAGTTCGGATTTGGATGGTAGGGGCCGTTCAGCAAAGTGTACGTATCACAATACAGTCCGTACACCGTTACAACATCCCTGCCAGCGTCGACGAAATATACCGCAGAGATCCGACATGGAGATTGCTACAACGACAGATGTGGCGGGAGCTCGGGAGCTGAAGTCTTTACAATCGTGCCAGAGGTTATGCGTCTCAGTCATGCTTAAGAAAGTGGAGCCGTCTCTTTACAATTGTACACACGCAACTATTTCATATTCATCTGGCGAGCCTTATTCTCTCTTGGCGGAGATATGTAAAGGCCCAGGCTCCCACGCAGGGTCGGTCGACCAATCTCTCGCAGGAAATTGTTGAGTATCTGGGCGCGGAGATGGCAAGTCATTCGCCAAATCTTTGAAAATAATGTCTGGTGCTGAATGCGGCAGAAGAGGTGGCTTCAAACGCCGTGGGAAAGCTTCAGGATTGCCTTGATTCTGATTCAATCGAATACGGATCGGCTGTTTCGCGTTGTTCGTGTTTATTTGACCGTTAGTATTTGCTTCAACCAGATGACAACGGGCATGAACGTGTAATCTCATTTGAGCCCTCTCATCTAAAAGGAAAAAGCTTTTCTTGTTCATGACAACGAGCGGTTTCATCGACTTCAGAATAAATCTTTCTGCTTTAAGCTGTAATCGATACTGATCATGCGTCGTTGCACACATCGACGTCGTCACCACATCCCTCGCAGAAAATGGCAATATGGATATTTTACTTTGACAAGTATATCTTGGTTGAAATGTATACAACTGGTCAGCATAATGATGGATTTGCTTGGGCGTCCCCCGAATATATGGCTTTATTGAGTGCAGTCAGCCCACTTACACATAGATTATCGCATGTCACGATGGGAACGTTGCGCATCGGTGAGCGACACATTCACCGTACGGTTCAGATGCAGCATGTGTAGCACAACTTGAAGCATCGAAAAGGACAGTTAAACGAATATTTCTTGTTCAAGGCCTGCTTTATTACAGAATTTACCCAATCGATGCTCTAAATGTGGTGAGGCCTCATCATGAGAATCTCATGTATAAAACACTGTACGAGACAAACGATTGCCTCCTTGGTGCCACCTTAAAAAAGGGAAATCGTTCGTTTCAGTGGCGCTCAGTACTGGTGGCTCAACTCAAATTAAAGAGTAAGCACTTATCAAAGCGTGTCAACAGATTATACCCTCTATCATATGTAGGTGCATTTGGGCAGCCTGTCAAATGTTGATTGTTCATTAGTTTTTTTCACAATATTGAATTGTATCGAACCCCCGCCAAGCCTGGTTCACTTTGTGGCGGTCTAACGACACATGAGTGTTGATTCAACCGAATCTCAGTAAGCCTGTCAAAGCATGCACTGCGTTATATAATGCACATATGTATGAGTGGGGCAACTTGCTCTAGCGCTGCAATCGCTCCAGTTTTGTTTTTAGAGAATTCACTCCATCACGCGCTTAGCGCGTTCCGACTGACCACCTGACTGTGGGTGTTCAGCGATGATCATACCTGATCTGATGATCCGATGTCAAGCACTTTGAACAACGTTCGCCACATTTCGCTTTCAAGCACAAAACTCGACGCAAAACACTGTCCACCGGCAAGCCAAATCGGCATGTCAATGATAGCTTGTCGCATGCGAGCTTTTGTGAATCAATTAAGCTAATCTGTATAACCTTGTCGGTCTCTTTAGCGAGTGCATGACCGCTGCGAGCCACAAAATAATTAAAACGGGAATGGGAAGGTGATATATTTTAAACCAGATTTGTGGTTTAGAATATCCATGATCGAGCTCCAAGCACAAAGGGATTCGAAGTCTTGAAGCTAATTTAACGGGATCAATTTGAAGATCACGAAGCCTATAATCTTGTGGATGAATCACCCACGCGGCAACCAAATACGTTGACGTGCGTCTCAAGCTACGCGCCACCATACCCAAAAGCATCGAGTCAACCATAAATGATCACAGGTCTATTAAGAAGCACATAATCACTACATGTCACAAAACAAGTAAAATTAGCGGCCCCAAGATTACAAACTAGCTGCTACTTCAAAGTCTTTTCACCAAATACTCTACCATTCTAATCATTATCTTAATCTACCTTGGTATAGTCAGTCAACTTGGGTGTCATCCTTTTTGGTACAGCTATACCGATAAGAGAGTCGTACTGGCATATTACTGGTCTGCCATTGCGCCTCATCTTCAAGACTCCCACTCAGCTCAGCGTTTTTATGGCCGTTTCGAACTTGCCCTGAAGAATAAGAAGATAGACGGCCTGACCATCAGGTACTTGCGAACAGAGTCAGCTGCCGAGTTGCACGCCCTTATACTAACCACGTAGCGAACATTGTCGGCAATTTTGCTAACGTATACCGCTTCGTGTCCTTGAGCAGACGTTGACATGTCTGAGGCCGGCTCTGTCACTAGGTCCGAAAACTTCCCACCCCTCGCTCCAGCGACTTTGTTCTCTGTAGAAGACCATCGATAATTCAAGTCTGTCTAATGCCCTTAATTTCGCGGTCAATATCGTCGGATTGCGTCGAGGTTTGATCCACTCCTTTATCGCATTGCATAAAGATTTCGCTGTTTACTATTAAAGTTGTCAAAAGTCACGACAATCTTTGTTTTTCGAGACGATACGGTTTTTCAGGATTCTAACATCCGATTAACCGAAACTTCACCACTGCGCATGCATCGTATTTGGTGCATTTCTGGGTCGAAACCGTCTCATATGCATGGTAATGGAATATCTTCTGGCTCACAAGCAACAGCAAATTAGAAAATTGTAAGCGTGTTTTTTGCTCCGCGCACCATACATTTGCCGTTCCGCGTTGTGGTGGGGACGCTCAGAGCACTTCAATGTTTTTGTACTCATCAGAAGCAAGCGGTGCTTGTTGTCCTTGGCGCTATCTATCGCCCAATTCAAATGCGCTCGACCCTGATCGTATACGGTTCCATCGTCACCACCGCCTTGTTCTTGCGTGTTATGTTGACGCAATACAGCCAAGACGTCACGAGCTCCCTTGCAGCGAGTCTTTAACGCCATAACTAAAACAGGTAAGACTCGCTGAGTTGTGCGAGAAGCTTTAATATTGAGATGTCCTCGTTGACCGGAATGCCCACTGCGTCAAGCTGCTCCGCAACCGTCTCAAACGTGTCAATGTTTGTTTTCATCAAACTCACTAACTGATGTCATTCAAAAGCGTCGATGAAGAATATAGAGCTTGTTGACCAAAATCTGATATGCTACTCTAAATGTAAAAAATACATCGCTGCGCTAAGGCCAGCAGAACAGGTCGCATGTAGCCGTGAAATCTTCCTCACATCGCAACATGAATGATTGCCAAGGCCTTCCATGGCTTGATTTTGACCGTCGACTGGCCCAGCGTGTCGACGCAGTGATTAAGCTTGACCTCATCAAAAGAGCCCCTACAGATCACGTTCCTCAAACACAATTTGTATCTCGTATTACAGAAGTAAAAGTTCTTGTTGATGCCGCTAGAATCGGAGAGGCCCATTGCTAAGGCAGAGTCATGATCAGCGTCAAAGTTGAGGTGTTTGGTGTTCGAGAAGCACTTTATCATCAGATGACAGAATGCAAAGGCAAGTGATTAGTCTATCGTTCGCAAACTAGCTGTACACATTAAAGTATGTCATTTTCTATCATCGGAGGTTTCTGATTCACATAGTCAAATCCGAGCAACGACGAAATCTACAGGCGAGACTGTGTATTCGCTACTATCATGAAATAAGCACTCAATCATGTAATGTATCTATATCAGATCATTAGCTGAAGCGTTCGAACATTGCTTTTTCATGTTCCGGATCACAATCAAATTACTGTACAAATCTGAAATTTAAATTTTTTATTAGCGATTCCACATTTTTGCAAATGCTTAGGCATTTTCGTACTCGTACATGGGGACGCCGCTGGAATTCCAATGGTAGCGCTAAGCCAACAACTAAAACTACTACAAATACAACCTCGACATTTGGTGTATCAAATCGATCGGCGACACCGGGCACCATGCGCCTGACCAAGAATTATGGTGCTGACAAACATGAGGCCGAAGTAGATTCGACACTCGCGCGAATTATCGGCTCTGACTGGGGCGATCGTTCGCATCAGCCAGTATCACTGCCCATGCGCATCTATTGGATCGTTTTTGCTGTGGTACTGGGCAATGGTTTGTACACCTACTTTGCTGGCAAGGACGAGTCGTTCTTGATAAATAAACTGAAGAAAAAGGCAGACGAGAAGATGGGCGTTTTGGTGGAGAACGAATGTCAGAAGATGGCAGAAATACCGACGAATGAAATTCAAAGTATAGAAAAGGCGAAGCATCAAGAAGTCACGACGACAACTGCAGCGTCCATATTAAATTCTACTACTGGATCATCGACTACGATGCCATTTCTTGCACCAGGTTTATCGAAACATATAAATTCAGGTCGTCTTCAGTCGAAGGAAGAGCTCGATTACCAACTTTCGCAGCTACGAGAACAGGAGAAGCGCCTTAAGCAACAAATTATGAGTGGCGAAGCAGCTGCAAACGAGGAGCTGGAACATCAAGTACGCATGATTGATGTTCAGAAAGATCAGGTGAAACGCAGGATGAAATACTTGTAAGCTGGGATTACGAAGACTGCAACTTGATTGTATCGCGGAAATACGAATCAATGAACTTGAGCAATAGTATTCTAGAACATCAATGTTTCTTATCGTCGTCTTGTTCTTGTGACAGCTATGGAAACAGCTCCACCGGCAGCGATACTGATAACTTCTTGGTTTATGGATGAGAAAAACTCAACTCTTTTGAATAAAGCACGATTGATTGTGTCTCCATGTCCTTAAAAACAAGATATCAGAACATTGACGAACCAAAGAATACAGTGATGAACTTACCTAAATTGCCATGTTCCCCCCAACCACACGTGTACATATCGCCACAAGTTGTTACGACCATTGAATGTTCGCTTCCGCATGTTATTTGACGAATTGGATGAGAAAAAGGCACGACTTTGGGCTCGCACACGTTTTCCAACGTACCCAAACCCAATTGTCCGTGGCTTCCTTTGCCCCAAGTCACAAGTTCTCCGGTCTCTGCTACGCACATTACAAAATGCCAGCCGCAGCCAACGTGGACAGCACGAAGATTACGGCTTTTGTCTTGAGGGTCTGCCACTCGAACGGGTGAGCTAATTATCTGCTTCCTTAAGCCTTTCGATACTCTCGAGTCAATTTTTTTTGTCACACCCAATTGTCCATGTCGGTTGTTACCACAGGTGAATATCTCACCACTAGAAGAGCTAAATACCGAGTGTTCCCATCCACAGAAAACGTGGGTAATAGCAATATCCGTCAATGCCTGAATGTGCTTGGGAGTCTCAGTCTCATCAATATCGGTCCCAAGTCCCAATTGGCCATGTCGCCCGCTTCCCCAAGCGAACACAACACCATCACTTGTGGCTAATAGCGAATGCTTCCAACCACATGCAATACTTGTAACTTGAAAATGTAAAGGCAAGCAACATATTTGTGCAGATATTTCAGTGGCATTTTGAACACGACCTAATTGATGATACTCATTTGAACCCCATGAGTAAACTTGGTCTTCTTCGTTATTCGATGAAGCGACGGCTAATGTACTCCGCCATCCACAAGCTACGAACTTTGTTTTCTGTCTCAACAACAACTTAAACACCTTATGTTGTTAACATGCATCAAAGTCAATCACATACGTTTTCACGTGGAATCCATGCTACAGAATTCTGAAGAAAGTTTGAAAACTTTTGTTTTGACAATGTTTGGCCAAGCTGACCACGATCGTTCGACCCCCAAAGAAAGAGATGACCATTGGAATCAATTCCTTCAAATACCAAGCTTGCATTCAACGATTTACAAATTTCTTGCTTTACCAACGTACCTGCACTATGACATCCTCCAGATATGATGGACTCAAGTTGTATCTGTAAGTAATTTATGATATGAGCCTAACTTCGTTTTTTTACCATCGAATAAATGGACCTGATTATTTTCCCAACGTTGTGGAAGTGCGTAATCGTCATTATTATGCAATCCGAGTTGCCCACTTCCTCCTGTTAATACACTTGTTAGCTTGCATTGGCCTACAGAGTTCGGCAGACACAAAACGATGTACCTGATCCCCACACGTATAAGCGTTTCACCATTCGCTCACATAAATGGGCGGCATAACTACCGGTATTTAGAGTTACTTTAAAGTCATGTACTTTCTGCACAAGTTACTACAGAGAGGTCTTGTGGCACGAGTCACAATGACAACACATGTTTATCCGATCCGTGGTAGGTAGAGGATGACTGGTGGCGACGGCTCGTGTGGTCCACGTATATTCTTCAGGTGCTGCATTAATTGTTGAAATAGTTGTTTGTGATTGGTTAAGTAGGAGCTTTTATCAAATTGTTTTATCTATAAACCAATCAGATCCTTTCAAAATGCTACTATTCAATAGCAATTTTAACACTAATTCAAATCATGCAGAATTTTTTGCGGCGAGCTCCTCCAATGATGCCAGTCTCTTTCTCTCTTTCAATAAAAAAGAAAAAAACAGGTTTCCTTCCTCCAACGCGACAGGTACGTAGTAAGCAGAACTGATGACGCACACTCGCTGACTTTACTTTCATTTGGCTGCAGCCATGGCCAACTCCGCATCTTCCCCGACCAACAGCCCAGCTCCTGCCTCTGTCAGCGCCACTCCGGCTGCTGTAACGACCTCAGCCTCGACTTCGTCGGCTACAGGTGCCGCGCAGCCGTTTCACACGGCCTCGTTGTATGTAGGGGACATCCATCCGGATGTAACGGAGGCGCTACTTTTTGAAATATTCAATGCTGTGGGTCCAGTCGCGAGCATTCGCGTGTGCCGAGACGCCGTTACCCGTCGTTCGCTTGGTTACGCATATGTGAACTTTCACAATGTAGCCGATGCTGAGCGCGCTTTGGATACAATGAACTTTACGAGCATTAAGGGTGTTCCTTGCCGTATTATGTGGTCTCAACGTGATCCATCGCTCCGTAAGTCAGGCGTCGGTAACATTTTTGTGAAAAACTTAGACACGTCAATTGACAACAAGGCGTTGTACGATACGTTCTCTCTATTCGGCAATATTCTAAGTTGCAAAGTTGCGATTGACCACACCACTGGCAATAGCAAAGGATATGGTTACGTGCATTATGAGACGGCTGAGGCTGCAACTGAAGCTATTGCTAAAATCAATGGTATGCTCATTGCTGGCACAGAGGTTTTCGTTGGTCACTTCCAGAAGCGTCAGGATCGTCCCGATGCCGATGACTGGACCAACTGCTATGTAAAGAACTTGCCCACTCATTGGACAGATGCTGATCTGATGAAAGAGTTTGAACCGTTTGGAAAGGTGCTAAGTGCAGTTGTGATGAAGGACAATGCAAACCCGGATCACAATCGTGGCTTTGGCTTCGTTAATTATGAAGACTCAGAGTCTGCTCACAGGTCAGTAGAGGCACTTAACGGCAAAGTGTACCCTGCAGGAGAGGGCGTAGAGACAGAGCTGTACGTTGGCAAGGCTCAAAAGCGCTCTGAGCGAGAACGGGAGCTCCGAAACAAGTTTGAACAGTTAAAGATGGAACGCATCAACAAATATCAGGGTGTCAATCTGTACGTGAAAAATCTTGACGACCAGTTGACAGACGACGAGTTACGTGAAGCATTTTCCGATTGTGGCACTATAACGTCGTTTCGTGTCATGCGAGACCCGAATGGCAACTCACGAGGCTTCGGGTTTGTATGCTTTTCGACCCCTGAAGAAGCCAATAAGGCGGTCGCAGAGATGAATGGCAAATTGATTTCTGGTAAGCCCGTGTATGTTGCTTTAGCGCAGCGTAAGGAAGTGCGGCGTGCACAGTTGGAGGCTCAGCACGCTCAGCAACGAGCTGGAATGGTTGTTGGTCGTGGCATGCCAATGGGCCAGCCACCTATGTACGGTGCTGCTCCTATGTTTTATGGTCAACCTGGTCAGCTTCCACCCCAAGCTCGTCAAGGCTTTATGTATCCTCAGCAGATGATGCCTCGTGGAGTCCAGCGTGGTCCAATCCCATACGGTGCCCGTGTGCCTGGCGCGCCAGCTCCAGGTGGCTACCCAATGCCTGGTTATGGTATGCCAATGCAGCAGCAACGTGGCCAGCCACGACGTGGCCGCCAGGGTCCGGGCCCACAAGGGCCCCAAGGTGCTCCACCTAACCGTCGCAACTTCAAGTACACGGCGAACGCCCGCAACCATCAAGCCCGTGATGTTCCACCTCAGGGTGTGATGCCACCTGCTGCTCCCATTCAGAATGCTGGCCCGGAGCCGTTAACCTCGGCTGCTCTGGCTGCCGCCTCGCCGGAGATTCAGAAAAACATGATTGGCGAGCGTCTTTACCCGTTGATTCACCGCCAGCAGCCTGAACTGGCTGGTAAAATTACGGGTATGCTGCTGGAAATGGACAACGGAGAGTTACTGCATCTGCTTGAAAGTCCGGAGGCGTTGGAGGCCAAGATTCAAGAGGCTATGTCTGTTCTTGAGGCTCACCAAGGCTAAAATGGGTTGCAGTGTTGGGCGGCGGACTGAATCGTGTATTTGGCCATGCATGATTCCTTGGCTTGAGCAGGAGTGTAGAGAAGGAGTTCGGTGAGCTGCGGCTCCTACTATTTGTGTCGTTGGTATTAGATGACGTTTGTCGTCGATGTTTTAATGGTTGGTGGAAGGGAGTGCACAACAAAATACTTCGATTTGACGGAAAAAGACACAATTGGTGGGGGTCGTAGCTTAACGAAAACATGAGAAGAGATGATCACTACGCCTCTGTCTGCGCGGCCAAATGAGTGAAGGCCTTTTGGCCGTAGACTCGGTGCCTTCGTTGCCTTTTGCGCCTGCAGATGATTCTTTTTATTATTGCGCAAGCATAGATAGGTTTAGTGTGCAATTATTGTTCGTTTTACTTCTGACGCATAACCCAATTCGGTGAGCGCAGTGGACAATAATTTTACTTATTGACAATTTATTGCAGACTATATTTATATCAAATATGTAATATCCTGCCGGTTAGCTCTGCCATTTTGTAATGTTTGACACATTTCCTTAAATTGCTGGAAATATATTATTCTTCGGAGCATTTTTTTTATGTTTATTACTAAATAGAGAGTAAAAAAATTGCTGCCGACCAGAGATGACGCTGGCGAATGTGATGCGAGCGAATGTGATGCGTCTAGCGGCGATCCGAACCGTACACTCGAATCAATTTAAGATTGCACAATGTGCGATTTCGTATCCCCAATCATCGATGCAGCTGCGGTCCATGGGTCTGCTTTCTAACATTAAAAAGACTGTGTCGGGCAAGTTGGAGGAGCGCAATCAACATAAACAAGGTAGAGTGTTTGATTCTTTAGATATCAATTGAACGGATATCACGGGCTATGCTGCAGGAGAGGCATATAAGCAGCAGATGATTGAGCTTTCGCAACAGGAAAAATTTGATCTGAATGGGTTTTATGCTCATTTAAAGGTATGAAAGAGCTTTTTGAATTTATCTATGACTGTGATGATGAGACTGCTATTATGTTTTATTCAAATCTGGATGCTAGAAAAATGCTGAAGCGAGTGGTGCTAGCGGTTGGCGAGCGATGATTCCTGGTGTCTCATCAATGGTGAGGCATTAGATAGTTAAATCGATTTAACTTGATGTAATTATGAAGCATATTTGCTGCTTTTTAGACTGCCGTGCAACAAATGAAGATGTTTATGACTATTCTGGAGTCAATGGAGGCACGTAAATCAAAGAAAAATTGATTCGTTGTGGTATTCTGACGAGTTGAAATGTTGCATTGCAGCCTGAATATCTTGAGAGTCCTCGCCTGATCAATGGAAAAGTCAAGAGGAAAATCTCTGAAAAGACTGGTCATGTATGTAATTTTTACTGTCAATCACGTGTTTGGAAATATTAACCTTTTTTTCTCTGGAGCAGTCGCCAGAAGATATCAATAACATGTTGCGCAACTACGAGCAGCTTTCAGCTCTTCATATTTGGCTGGTAAAGCGGGCAGAACGTGGTCTTTCTATTCCCGAGACTATCGATGAAACTACGGAGATGGTGCGTCAAGACCCGACGGGATTTCCAGCCAAAAAATTTAGGTATGTGATTAAATTTTGTGACTTATTAGCTTTTCCTGCACTTAATTAGCTTTGTAGGATGAAGCAACGCCGGTACTAAGCAGCTAGCAATTGGTGCAATTAGTCGCACACATAAACGTTTCTCTGAAAGAATATAATTTTTGTTCTTAATGCTAATGATTATTGAGAGGTTTTGCTATTCATTCTTGTAAATTTAAGGTGAATACCATGCAAAGCTCCCACAACGTCGTATTTGGTGACCCCCTTAAGCCTGTAAAGCTTGACGATTTTCGCAATGTCCTCATTCGGTACATATATTCGAATCTTTCTCTCTTAAGCAAGTAAGTTCTCATAGTGTTATTACAAATGAGCAGTCAAGAAGAGACGATTATCTTTGCGTTAATTGAGCGCGCACAATTTCCGCGGAATATGGAGGTCTATTTGAGCATGAAAGACAGGTATACCAGTAAAATACCAATATGATAAAAAGAGGATGTGATTGTATTTTATAATGTATATTTCAGTAAAAGTGCAGCATTTGGAGGATTAAAAGGCAAGTATACGACTTTTGACGGAAGTCTACTCGACTTTATGCTACTGGAAACGGAAAAATTACATGCATTGACACGTCGGTATACTTCGCCGGATGAAAATGCTTTTTTTCCGCATCACTTGCCAGAACCAATTTTACCACTTCTCAATTATCCACGTGTATTAAATCCGAACCGGATAAACGTCAATCATCAGATCATGAGTGTATACCTGGAAAAAATCTTACCGGGATTAACAACTTTTGCTACTGACGACACAGCAGTAAGAAAACATTTTTATTTGTATTTTTTGTAATATTTTTAAATCTGTACTGCTTACAGTTTGGCTCGACAGCAACGGCAGATATTGCAGTTCTACAGGCTTTAAGTAAACGAATTCACTTTGGTAAGTTCATTGCTGAAGCGAAATTTCAAGCCGAGACCGAACGTTATACGGAACTTATTCTTGCAAATGATGCGGATGGCATTATGAAAGCTTTGACCAATTTAGAAGTTGAAAAGGTTTCAAAATCGTTTCAAAAGTTACGCATTGAGTTACTTCTAATTAACATTATGTGGGTACATTGTAGAAAGTATTGGAACGTGTTAAAATGAAAGCTTCAGCTTATGGTCAAGACCCAAACGTTCCAATTTCAACGGATAAAACTATGAAAGTATCTCCTCAACTCATTTCTGATTTATATTGTGACTTTGTCATGCCTTTAACAAAGGAAGTACAAGTTCAATATTTATTACAACGTGTAACCCATCCAACAATTGCTATAGCTGGTACAAAAGGATCATTTTGTTGGTTAGCTGCTCAAACTCATTTTGGCAGCAATACATTGAATGACTTTCAATTGTATCAAGCAGAATCGATAAGTCAAGTCTTTGAGAATGTCAATGCAAATTGTACTGCATATGGTGTCGTGCCAATTGAAGACTCTCTTTCAGGAATGATCAAAGAGACACAAGCACAATTGAGACTCAGTACATTGAAAGTATCTGCTGAAATTCTACTCACACGTTCATTTCTATTTGCGACTCAAGATAAAAGACTATTAAACACGAATGAAGTGACCAAAGTCTTTTGTCCACTCGAAACAAGTGCTTGCTTTCTTGCACAAGCTGAACAAAATTGGCCAAGTGCACAAATGATTTCCGTCTCCAATGTATCAGAAGCAGCAAGTTGTGCAAGATCTGAAGCATTGACAGTTGCAGTAACAACGGCTGGTGCTGCAGACTCAAACAATTTAGATCAAATTGAATCAAGCTACGAACTGACGTCGGATGATGCCGTAACTAGCAAGTCTTTCATTCGCTTTGTCATTGTGTCAAAAGGGTACCCTGCAGCCACGGGAAAGGATAAATCATTTTTGAGCATGGAAATTAAGCACGAAGTTGGCTCATTACTATCAGCTCTCGATGTATGGAAGAAACATAACATTAATCTTTCGTGGCTTGAATCTCTTTATCGTAAAGAAGGAGGCTATGACTTTTTCGTGGAGATTGTCGGCCATTATGATGATAAGAATGTGCAACAAGCGGTGCAGGATCTCCAATCGGTGTGTACACTGAAACATCTTGGATCGTTTCCAACAGCAGAACGTCTCATTCGAAGTTAAATTTTTATTGAGTACGATAGAATTTTAACTTCAGCATTCAGTAGCTTTACCATCGAGCTCGACTATCTTGATTTAAATCAACATATTCAGCATCAATGACAGTCTTACGTCGTCCATTTACCGAAGAATCACGCAAGAGATCAATCTTGATTCCACTTTGACGATTGTAATCTAGTCATCACTTTTTAAATACCTTTGAAATCAACAAAACAAGTATCATGAACGTACATTTAAGTTCCGTGAATTTCAACTTGCCTTCTAAATCAATCGAAGCTTTCATTATCACATGCGTAGACCCATACGCTCCATTAACCGGAAACTTCGCTTCAATGCTTCCAATTCCATTCACAGCTACACAGCAGATGTTAATCAATTTATCAAAAAAATCATCAATCCACCTACTTGTCTCGATCCACGTTTCCGGTCCTCCAACACTCACATCATTTCCCATTTCTTCACATATACGTTCATTTCGTTGCAAGTATTCATTCGTACGACGTCGTACTTCTCCTGCTCTTGCCATTGAATTTTGCATTGTTTGACCAAGAACTGAAAAGATCGTTTTGACAAATCCTCGAACGAGAAATGGCATATCATGTACAAGTGATTCCAGATCATTTGAAACTTGTACCTTTTGACGTTGTCGTTTACGATTGAACATATCGTTTAGTATGTCAAGATTCGAGTTGATAGTGTTGTTTTCGGATTGAAAGGGACGAAAGATTCGCTTGTATAAAGTATACATTCCAAATCCTGCTGCTCCAATAATTACAACTCCGAACGCTACTACAAAGAAAGTGAGTGAAAACAATTGAATTTCTGAGTACTGACTTAAGTCCACGTACATGACGTTGAGGCGATGAGTGCACTTGTACCGAGTAGTATGAGGCCTCCAGTCTTGAGTTTAGACTTCCAATCGTTACTGCTTTGCCATGACTTTCGTTTAGATGAAAAGGATGATTGTTGTAGTATTATGAGTGATGAGTGAGGGATGAAAGTTGGAGTACGAGAAGAGATGAGAGATGGACGTATGGAATTTGATCCATTCAGACTGGAAATTCGAGAGTTGAAAACGCTAGATGAAGTGTGTAGAGATGCGCATGCACGAAGACTTGCTATGGTCAATGAAGACGTGCTGCGACGCAGTAATAGCGAGCTCATCACTGGAGTTATAGACGGTAATACAGGTTTTATGCGTAATGTTTTAAGATCGAGAAGCTGGGAGATGTACTGGTTTGAGTTAGTTACTGAAATAGACCATTTAACACGCGTGACATTTGTACTGTTTTAAGTTACCTCCTGATATTGTTATGAGTATCTTCTTAAGTAACACCGATTGCGTATTGTATTAAAGTCAGCAAAACCTTGGTACTGTTCTAGGTTAATTCTATGTGTAAGAAATCTCATTCCTCGTCAATTTCGACTTCATGGCGCAATACTGGCCGACAAATGTGCTCTTAACTCCACCTGGTAATACTCGAACACCACCTGAAGCCGAGATCCAACACCTGGTATGGACAATAGCTGGTATCTTCGTAGCTGTATCAATTATTTCATCCACGCTACTAATTCGCGGTCATCTCAATCACTTTACGCAACCAATTGTTCAAAGCAAGGTAAACAGTAACCTCAATTTTTATCTTTCATTTCTAATTAATTTACTTGTAGATTGTCGGAATTCTATGGATGGTGCCAATCTACGCAACTGATTCGTGGTTAAGTCTACGATTTAAAAACGCTGCTTTATATCTCGATCTCATGCGAGATTCCTACGAAGGTTATGTCATTTATCTCTTTTTAGCACTAATGATTGCTTATATCAGTAAAGGAAGTAACGAAGAGATGATCGCAATCTTAAATACGTTACCAGCTGTCCAACATCCATGGCCAGTTAAGAAATGGGTCAAACCAATTGGAATGGGATCAAATTTTTTAAAACATTGTAAAATGGCAACAATGCAATTTGTGGTGCTAAAACCATTGATGGCACTTGTAGCCATTGGGTTACAATTCAATCATATGTACGATCAAGGGAATTTTAGTACGACCAAAGGTTACGTCTACATCAGTCTCGTGGTCAATCTTTCGATTACATACGCTTTTTATTACTTGGTGCTCTTTTATATGGCACTTTGCTCTCAATTAGCACCATATCATCCTGTTCCCAAGTTCTTATGTATCAAAATTGTGTTATTTCTTTCCTTCTGGCAAAGCGTTGTGCTTGCGTTTCTATCTCGTTTTGAAATCATTCATCAACTTGGTTCATGGAGTGTTGAAAATGTCACGACAGGAATTCAAAATTTACTCATTTGTTTCGAAATGTCGTTTGTTGCTATAGCACATCATCGAGCATTTCCTTATGAACCTTATAAACATGGAAATCCAGCATTACGTACAAATATTTTGGCTGATTATCTTGCTTTTGAAGATGCTGTTCGTGATTTTAATGAAGTGATGCCTGTGGTACTTCCAACACCTTTTAAACCTGGTGCCGAGACTTTGAAAACGAAAAAACACTATCAAATGACACAATCAAACGAACAATTCAGCTCGGAAACTGTACGTCTACTAACTGATGGTGTAGATCAATCAAAACCATCAAATTTCAAATCAAAATCGCGTGGTTGGAAACTATAGCGTATTGAAACAATTAAACTACTCACACGTCGTTATCTCGATGCTTTTTGATCATCTTTCTACAGTATCAAATGATTATTCTTTTCGAATCTGAAAATTACAAAGATTCGTTTGACCAACTAATTCCAGACCCTTTTCATTTGCAAGATGAAGCACACAAATGAAGTAAAAAGAAACTGTGACGTTCGAAGGCACCTACAAGTAATTCACGTTAGTTTTTCCTTTCAATTACCAATGAAACATTCATCCTATCGTACCTTGTTAGCAACGCTTTCCACCATACTAGAAAAGTTTGTTTCAATACGATTGTTTTCCTCATTTTCAAGCAAACGTTTACGTGAATTTCCTTCACTCGCATCGTTATCACGTTCGTTATTTTTCTCAACATTCTCTTCACGATTTCCAACAATTCGTTTCTCCAAATCCTCCCAAATGGTACCTTTTAACTTCTTGACATCCACACGCTTAGCAAAACGTTCATAATGAACGCCAATCTTCTCTACAACGCGATCAGCTTGAACTAAACCTTCTACTGAATACATCGCTTCTGTACCATATCCATCAACTTCAGTCGTGCTTTCATCTTCATCGTCATACTCACCTTCAAACCCACCACCATCATAAGTAAAAGGCATTTCTTGATCCTGATCAATAGCAAGATCGTCACGACTGTCTCCAAACTTAAATGTTTCTTTCTTAATGCCTTCCCGATGAGCGCTATCCAATCCTGTACTACGGTTTCGAAAATATCGAGTCTTTTCCTTCATAAAATGGCGAAAAAACAAATCGAGTTGAATATGTGCGTCTACAGGCAAGACAAGATCAACTGCATTCTCCATCTGTCTCTTTAAATTTCCTTTTGAGATTTCTAGACTTGATGTTGACTTTGGAGTTTTCAATCTTGATAAATCAGGCGATTCACCAAAGAAATCAACGAGAATAGCAACTTTCTTATCCATTCCAATACTCGTTCCTTTTCTCACTTGATCCGATGAGTCCAATAGCTCACTTTTGATAACTAGACCATCTTCATCCACTTCAAGTCCATGATGATCAGTTTCTTCTTTAATATGTTGTTTCATTTGAACTTTACGTACTGCAGGGAACTTCCAGTGTCCAGGACCTGCCCAATTTCGAAGTAATTTCACATCAAAATACGAATAATCATTCTTGCCATCTTCGTCTTCATTTTCCATTGTAGCAGATCGAAACAAAGCTGATTCAATCATCTGTGAAAAGAGATGATTGTCATAATTCTCAGGTATGTTTTTGTTCACCTTTGCACGAAAGAAATCAGCAGCATTTGAAATTAAAGACACTTGCTGATTAAGTGGAGAACTTGCTTCTGTGCTATCATCTTGCACACTTTCTTCATCATCACAGGCAACCAAATCAATCACTTTCGTTTCATTTTCAATCTCTATATTGTCACTTGGAGAATCGATCTCAATGACATTATCTTCAATAGAATCCTGACCGTCATCATCATCATATTCTCCATTGTCATCACATAAATCCACTGAAATATCATGTTGTACTTGTTCAACCTCCACTTCATCTTCTTTTGCACCTTCCATTATTCGTGCAAGATTTCTTGTCACAGCATCTCGTTTGTCTAGTGTTTGACGTCGACCTTTTACTGGTGTTTTCAATAGAAATTCATTCTGAACTCCAAGTTTATGACGAGCTTCATCTCCATACAATTCATCCAGCTGATCATACATTCGACATAATGGTGGACAAACTTGAAGATCTTGAACATTCTGTTGAATACAAGAAAGATCACCAAAAATTGATAAATTGATACGGTCATTTGCACCAAAGTCTGTGTTCAACTCTGCTTCTGTAGTATCATCTTCCACTTCCAAATCTTGACCTTGACATTGTTTCCTTTGCTCATTTTCTGTCGTTTGATCACTTTGAACATTGTTTTGATCACACTTTTCATTTTCATTCCTCACTTTCTTCTTCAAATTCGTTTCTGACTTGGCTGTAGTTTCATAAATTGGTTTACGAGTCACATAACTCACATCTGATGAATTTAACAAGATTTTACAACCATCATAAACACTTAAATTTGCCAACAACATTCCTTTTGCCCCTCCTTCATCAAATGATTGCGACATCTTATGAAATAAAGGATCAGCTTCACATTCCATTTCATAATTTTTTAAATTAATGTTGTTCAAATTCTTTTCAATCGTTCGTGCATGCGTTTTCGTTGTCTTGCGTCCAACTTTACGTTTCACTTCCATTTCATCATCTGTACCATGTTTTTGCTCTGTACGTGATAAATTTTCCAAAATCTTGTACGACGAATTCCAAGTATCATCCACTCGATAGGAATAAATTTTAATACTTGCATCTAATGTACAACTTGCTTTTTGAAAATTGTACGTATCATCAACTGTATCACCACTTCGTTTCGAGGAATCAAGAATATCTTCCATATGATCAATTAAATGAAGTGACCAGGAATTCTTGACATTAATTTTCTACCATATAAAACAAATCACTTCACATAAGTTTCAATACAACAATCGAAACTTCATTCTCTTACATTTTCCGACGACATTTTGATAATAGTTGAATACATTTCACTAATGTATTGCTTATTACGTGCTGGAGTTGCACTCAACCCTCCAGTTCCTGATATTGTACTCGATTTCTTTTCACCAGATGTAAGGGAACGTCGACGTTGTTGATATGCCAGAGAACGACGTCGTCGACGACGACGAGCGACCTCTTCTTTATCATTCTGGGATATCGAGCGTTTACGCTTACTTGTAACCCTTTTTTTAGAGTTTAATGAATGCTCTGTCTTCTCCTCTTTTTCATCTTCATCGTCGGTCATTTCGTATTGCTCGATATCACTTTCAAGGTCGCTCTTAGTCTCGACGCCTGTCGTCTCCATGGTGAGATTCCTGATGGTTGAAAGTTTATGTATTGTACATTTAGAATGAGAATAGAGAGGTAAAGTATTTGGACTGAGTTTTGAAGGATATAGATCCTAGAAATGATTAGAGGACAAAAATTATTAGATGTGGAAAGTTATAGTTTTGTAAGAATGTTGTCATGGCGTAAATATTACTTTTACTATATATACTTCGAATGACTACTTCTTATTTAGTCTACCATGACGAAAGAGACTAAAATATCTACTGCAAGCGCAACTAATGCCACACTTAGAAACAGTTCCGTACGGTGGTCTTTCCTGCCTTAAAAGTTGGAGACCTTCAATTTGATGCGCCGTGAATTCAAGCACTGGTCTCGTACATCATCAACTTCAACGTGGCAACATCCAAACGGACCGCAACTCTGCATTTGCTGAAGAGGTGTACAAGGCGGTAGGGAATCGGAGGACTTTCGTGCGAGCTTTACAGGAAGAAGATTGCCATATTCCTCTGCGACGCTCCTGCGCACAGCGGGACACTATATATAAACAAGCCCTTTTCATTATGATTCTGCGCAAATTTCTCCTTCAAGATTTAACGAGAAGAAACAAGGATTGCAGGCGGAACTTATGTTTTAAATTTCATAAAGTATTGCCCGATTGCATACGAATGTGGTAAAAAAGTGCTGCTTCTAGAAGGCGGTGAGCAATCCTGCAAAAAAGTTCATGCTATCCCTCGACTGCGCCTAGAAACTTGTGTCGATTGGTCTACTTGCGCCCTTTTGTGTTAGGACACTGCTCGCCGGGCTGGCGTGCTTGTCAAGAGCTGAAGACAACTCCTCAATTTAGCTTGGAATTTGCTCGGAAGCTACAGTAGAGATGCGATCGACTCTGCAGAAGCGCAATATGTTTGGCCACGTTGGCTTTTTCACCAACTGAAACGAGGTGCGTGCCCACTTGGCAAGACCGTCTCGCTTAAAATCAGGCTTGTGAGTGAGATTTTGAAAGACCTACGGCCACTTAACCTTTGCCAACCAAGTTTGGAAACGGCATAACTAAGATTGGATTTATAATCCGATAGCAGTCATTTGAACATTTGAAAGAAAAACTGAAACCAACGCCAAATCTGCATCTACCAAATTAATGTGAATGTAAAATCAGGCTCTCGCACCATTTGCTTTTAGCCTGTAACGGGGTTACACGTACCCTTGTATGAATAGGGGGGTCGCACGACCGACATAGGTATGTATTACACAAGCTAGTATAATCACACAGTGGTGTGGCTACAGCGCAACAAGAATCACCCACGTGGCGAAATTGCCAGAAGTAATGGATTGATGAGATTTTGCTGAATTAATAAGGCATTACTGTATGAATGGGAAAACCTAGGGTCTTAGATTTTGGCGACTCTGCCGGAACTATAATAGTTAAATAAAGTTTTCAATTTTGAACAGAAGTGATTGTTTGCCTTGGTTAAGGTTTAAGTACTTGGAGGTAGCGGATTGCGATCCGCTACACTCATACTGTTTCTTGGAAAGAACGTAAGGTCGATGACCTCAGCTTAGCTTCCTCTAAGCAAAGAGCTACGGCAGCGCCGCTGCATAGCCACTATTAAGGTGTAAGTAGCTTTGCTTAACGAAATGGGCAAAACACAGCTCAATCGATGCCTCTTATCTATACGCACGAGATTTTGACGTGGGTAATGCAAAGCGGCTAGATCTGCGCTGTACCGATCACTATTAAGCATGTCTGATTCGCCTTGTTATGCTCGATTCTTCGCGTCGCTTTTGGAGCATGTCATCGATTACGATGACATGGAGCTACTATAATCTGGGTCCTACTCACTTAATGCGTCGAGAAATCAAGCTTTTGTCTCGTACATCACCAACTTTAACGTGATAGCATCTAAATGGACCACATTGCTGCATTTACTGAAGGGGTAGACAAGACGGTTCAGGAATTAAGATGTTATGGCTTTTAAGCAATTAATCGTATATGGACGTGATGTTGTCGAAATTGCAAATACCTTTCTACCATCATGTGTGACAATAAGGATATAATCGCTTGACAGCAGTATCGTCGCTTGCTTCGAGGCAAACAGCCGACCTCTTCATCGGATGCATGCGTGGCTGCTACCAATCAGAAACAACATGATCAATTTGAAATCTACGTTTCGAGGGACATGTAGTAATTGGATCCTAGGCTCATAATATGTTAAAAGGTAGAAACAATGGTGAAGAGATTCAAGATTGGGATCAAAAATTCTTGTTTATACTTGGGACGTAGAGCATCAGCTCGAGAAAGAGACACAAGAGCGCCACGAAACACGTGTACAAACCTTTGCTGCTACAGTGGCATGAACGGAAGCATCAAAGAAAGTAGTTGATGCACGAATCAATCGAGGTGCTGCAAGTTTCAGACACAATATTGACCCATTGTATTTCTAATCCACCCGATGAGCACAAGATGTACTCCACAGAATCTAGCGATACCGTCATCGAATTGGTCACTCTGACAGCAGAATCTTCTGCAAGCACAAAGACCAGCTCCGCAGTGACGACTCAGCTCACTTTTTCGTAAGTCATCCGACAAATGCAATATTTGCAACTGCAGCGAGCTTTTCAAATAGTCAGATTCTGAAATATCAAGTCACGCTTCGAGCTCAACATAAAAAGCTCCCTATTGCACAAACAGGAGCTAAGAGCACGGTAAATTCTGAGTATCAGTAATTGTATGGAAATCAGTCCCAAGTGTGCCAAATATAAAAGTCTTGATTTATATCCACCGTAATTTCTTACAACCACTTCTGTGAAGTACTAGCATGTCAACGACATATCGAGATGTTGGTAACGATAGTCTACTTACTCTTCCGACAGCTTATGACCATCATATACTTACGTGTAACACAAATTTATGCTTAACGTAATCTTTGCCATATGTCTGAAATTCAAAAAAGAGAATTATTAGCATTCAAGGATGCCAACCTGGATATTTTCGGAGCATAAATTTTTTCAGACCAATGGATATGAATAGCATGACGCTAAAGGCACCTCAAATCTGGTGCCCTGCCTTTCAGCATGACAAAGACAAGTGAGACCTTTGTTGGCTATCTCCGAATCTTCTGTTTTAAAAATTCTATTGCTGGCAACGTTTTCTATAAAAGTTGATTACGAATGCCTTCTGCTCAGACAATCGGGGAAATAGCTCTGACCTGACCCTATCCAAAGTCTAAAGTCGACAGACTTCCATCTCGCCACTTTCATACTTCACTCTCTTGTATTCCATCTGTCGAGCTAGCTGGCTCTTGACATTGTGTCAAAGCAAATTTGAGACTTCGACCGACAAGCTTTACCAAGACACGATGAAGCGCTCGTTTCAAAACTTGTACCCAATGTCTGAAATTGTCAACGACATCACTTTTGTCACGGACAATGGACTTGTTGCTAGTGAAGCCATTGCGACAAGTAGACGAGCGTGGAAGCGCAGAGTCTTTTGTCCCAGTATACCTTCTGCTGTTCAAATCAAGTCGACATTTCTGCCTTGTACAACCCACCTCACATATTCACAGATGCCATCGCTACCGTGTCAATGGAGATGTGGCAATTTGGAGACTGCATTAAAGGAGGAAGCGTTATTGTGTCTTGTTCTTTCATTCCTTAATGTACGTGAGCATCAAATCATTCGACAAACGAATCGATCGTGGCAACGTCGTGTGCAAACGTTGGTTTTAGATCGACTAGACTTGTCATACTTCACCTCGCCAGTATGTACTCACACGCTTGATCGAGCATGCCAAGGAGTGTTAGCAAGCTACAGTCGCATTCGCCGACTTGATCTATCGGGTCAGCGTGCCCTTGTAGACCGAGATTTGCTCGTGCTTACCTCATGCTTCTGGTCTCATTTGGAAGAAATTGTCGTAGATGATTGTCAGGAGATTTCTGATTTTGGGTTGCTTGCTGTACTCAATGCCCAATCACTTCGACTGCGTTCTGTGTCTGTGCGCCGGTGCAAACGAGTGATTGGTGACCTATTTTTCACGCAACATTCGCCATTGCATCAACTTACAGGCTCCCACCCATCTCTTACTACTCTCAATCTTGACGACACAAACGTCACTTATGCCTTTATTTCTCGCGTTGAAGCTCATTTTCCGATGCTCCAACGTTTAAGTGCATTGCATACACCAGCACATCGAACGTTTTTCCAGCAAATTCCAGTACTGAACTCTCTTCTGCGTGAAATGCAGTTGCTTGTAAGCAATGAACTTGACGAATTGGTTTTGTCACCCGTTATTCTTGACGAGTTTACCAAGTGGCGGTTGAGTCGTCATGGAAATAAAGTGGGAGTTTTTGAACGGACAATAGTAGCGAACGGTCTGCAAGCATTGCTTGACGTCCCCTTGCTTTTGACAAGCACCGAAGATTCTACTGATGATATTGAAGGCGAAAATTCGGTATTGATCTCACTTTTGCTTCATGCGTGCGTACGTGGAAAAATTCGATTGCTGTCAAGTATTTTAGCAGTAGGACGCAACGGCATTGCGTTTGACTTGGAAAATACGGATGCTGACGGCCATTCACCTTTAAGTCTTGCGGTTTCCAATGGATTTGTTGAGGCCACACGGATGCTTTTACAAGCTGGAAGTAACATCGAAACTCGATCATTGAGCTTAGTGACTCCTCTCTATCGGGCCAGTGAACATGGTTGGGATGGTTTAGTAGACATGCTACTAGACGCTAATGCACGAAGGGATTGTAGTACGACAGGGGGTGCAACTGCGTTGTGTGTTGCTGCTAAGAATGGCCATCGGTCGACTGTTCTACGACTTTTGGCTGCTGAAAAGCAAGCTGAAGATGAAGTACAAGTTCGAGGTCGATGCAATAAGTATCAGCTAGTTCAAGCACTATTTCTTGCATGCGAGGGTGGCCACTTGTTTGTGGTCTCTGATCTTTTGCTACTTACTGAGCTTAATGCAAATGTTCTTATGAACGACAATGTATCTCCACTTTACTTGGCATGTCAAATGGGATATGAAGACATTGTGTTGTTACTACTGGAACGTGGAGGTAATCCTTCTTTTCAACGTCCACAAGGCGGTGTGTCTTGTCTGTATATTGCAGCTCAAGAAGGACATAATGAGATTGTACGAATGTTAATTCTTGCTGGAGCTAACGTGAATGCTAAAATGAACGATATGTCCACTGCGCTACATATTGCGGCGCGTATGGGTAGAAAAACTGTGTCGCAAACGCTGCTGAGTTACGGAGCACGTCTAAACGATCAAACAAGATCGGGATTGACAGCTTTATATATTGCAAGTGAGGAAGGTCATACAGAGCTAGTTCAGTGTCTATTAAATTTAGGAGCAGCTCGTGATATTCAGACATCTAGTGGTGCTACAGCCTTGTTTGCAGCTGTTCATCGTGGCCACAATTCGGTCGTGGAAATGCTGTTACTTCATGGTGCAAATACTTCAGTGTCAAAATATAACGGTGCGAGCCCATTAGATGCTGCAGTTATGGTAGGCAATACCAATATCGCACGACTGCTTTTACGCTTTGGTGCACGCGTGGGAGGGTTGGCTTTGCACTTTGCGGAGCGCCGACAAAATATTGGAAATCTACATGCTCTGCTACAAGCAAGTTACTCGAGTCAACAGCTTTTTCAAGCCATTGAAACGAGAAACCAATCTACACATACTTTAATTGCTCCAACGAAAGTAGATTCGAAGCACGGAAAAACATTTGGTAGCGTATGACCACTGTACTAATATAATATGTTTTAACGTCGATATCAAACATTTCTTGAAAGGATACATCAAGCTGGAATTACACATGAAATTCTTTACGATTAAATGACTTTGAAACTTGTTGAGCACAAATCTTCCAATTCTTGTCAACTAGTGATGCGGTTGTAAGCTTAAGATGCAGCTTGATTGTTGAGTACAGATTGTCTCATTTCTCGCGTCAAATCCTTTTGTGTTAGATCATACTATCAACCCATTCATTTCACTTCTTCGGATTCTGCTGGTCATTTAATTCTTTATTAACTTAGTGTTCTACATTGAACTTCCTTCTAACACTAGGAGTGCCTCAACATACATCTTTTCTGCGAAAACACCTCGCATCTTAATTTAACGAGGTGGATACTCTGCTTTGTTGTGGATTACTTCAGCAACGATCACATATCGGCAAGAAAATATTTATCTGATTACGTGGAGCTCTTTGTCATATTTTCCGTGTTAACGGTCAGAAAGTCACGCCGCTCTTAAAACCTGGGACTCGTTTATCAGCATCAACACGCTATCAAAAATATTGTAAAGGAAAGTGTCCGCTGAAGCATCTCCTACGCTTTATCAAGCAAAGCGTTGTGTATCACTTAGTGTATGCCGATCTAAAACTCGTCATAAGGTGAGATGCTCACCAGATTCTTGAAGCTTGGATAAGGCTACTGACCGAGCTTATCGCTCAATATATGGCCAAGTTGTTACTCACGTGATATGTGCGATTTGTGTGTCAAGAGTAGCAGAGTCTTTTTTGGTTGTGTATTTATCAGGCCACGACATTAATGTATATAGGGTAAGAATACCCATCTGTTTTGTGCGCTAATTTTCATTTGACCAGTTAGCAAATTCTGAAGATCCACTGTATAATCAAGCTATAAATGATGAAATGTATTGTTTTGAATTTGCTGGGGTTTGAAACTCGCATCGTAGACCGAAAGGAGGAGATCAATGGAGTTGTCGTGCACATTACACTGAAGAATCGTTCGACTTGATGAGTCCACGCTACCAAACGCACAGAATGCGTCCGGAATCTGTTTCTAGGACGCGAAGCCTCGAGCCTCTTAAATGCTTTTCTCATATTTATGAAAAACCTCTTGAAAAAGCTGACTAAACATACGTTATATCCTTTACAATGAAGGCTTTGCCCACTGCACTTTGCTAAGGTGCTCAATCACAATATTTTAGTACTTCTCTGATTCATTTAAGCTTCCTTTTCAACTCTGACGGTCAACAGTGTGTACACCATCACAAAGTACGAACCCGTTCCGGAAAGGCTCTTTATGGCTTGAGCATCAGTCGCCAAATGGCAGATAGCCTTGACATTGTAGAGTATTGAGAGAAGGCAATTCATGTCAAGGTTGTTATATATCTGCGTCCACATTCGAAGCGAAATCTTCACAGTTATCAGTCGGAGCAGGAAGTCAGCCCGCCATAAAGAGCTAGCTCAATAAGCACACTACACGCGCAACTCTCTTTGGTTGGCTCTAAATTGCAAAATGATGAACGACATTTGACGAGACAGCTTAATGATCAAAGCCGCAAATCTGAAATGGCCGCGGTCCGGTTAGCAAGTATTTATTCTATTATAGAGTCCGTAACAATTTGAAGGGGAAAAGCATGGTCTGACAGGACTCTGCATTCATTAGACAAATTGGGATAAAGCTTTGGGCCACTAAAAGTGCTACTAATTCGGGCAATCTTCCCAGAGGCTGACAGCATCCGACCCCGGTTATGAGATTTGAGTTAGTATAATCCCCGATTATGAGGTTTAAGTTAATATCATCGATTGAAACGGCTATAGCTGTCAACAGTTAAGTGAATTTTCCAGCTGTCACGATGAAGGGCAGAAGTTCAAAAGTTTTGATATTAACGACAAGCTATGTCATTATATGAAAGTGATATGGTGACGATGTTGCTGCCAACACTGACGCATAAATTGCATACATCGCAGATGGTTAGAGCCAAGCAACGGCATTTTGAAGTTATCGAGGGTATACTTTATTGCAAGTAGCTCCTTGTCGTGAGCAGAATATTACGTCTCGAGAGACAGAGTGCATCTTGTTGTCGTCACGAAATAGCTGAGCTATTGAACGTCAAGGATTTGATTAGGTCTGCTCTTGCTAGAGATCGACGAATGGTTCGATTTCGGGAACGCTCTCGACGGGTGATTCGATTTCAGGAACGCTGTCGACGGGTGATTCGTTTTTCGGGAACTCTATCTCTGACAGTCCAATATTTGGCATAAGCACTCCGGAACATGGACCAGTTGAGCTGGGTTGCGAGTAAGTCTGTATGTTCGTGGTCCTCACTGGCAGCCTATTGCTAAAAAAGAGAACACATGATAACAAATTCTACTGACTACCTCTTCATAAACATTGGCAGGAAATGAGCCCAGTCACGAGGTTTTTTTCCATCACGGATCGGAAAAGTTAAATTGGTAAATAATCGTGGTTTTTTTAATTGTATTTATGAAGAGTAGAAGCTCCAAAGTTTCAGCGATTACGACAAACTACATAACGGGACACGCACCCTTTCCACGAGCACATTTCGAGGTTGTCCTTCAAGCATTCAACTTATGCGACCGGACGACCGAGCACATCGCACGCTGATAGGTTGATTTCTTAGTGTCGTCAACAATACGCGGATGATGGATTTGTACAATCAACCCAATAGTAAAACAAAAAAAATCAGTGACCAGATAACTATTTCGCTCACAAGTCATGAGTGACATTGTTAAAAAATAAGTCTATTGTTGATTGATACTGTATATCCGCTTTACTATCAACAATGATTTATCCCTATGCAATGCATCGCATGAAGCTATCAGCCCGTTCTCTTCTCTTCTCTCTGTGTCCCGAACATCTCTCCTATAAGCAGCTTCAATCCACTTGTCAGTACTAAGTATCAATTATGACGATTTATCATGGCACTTACTTGGTCCTTTGGGTTTTACTTAGAGCATGTGTGGGTACTGCATAATAGGGTGTATACTTCGCTATACTCTCCATAGTAAAAAAAGGGCCTCAGTGGAACCGCTTTCATGATATCTTTTCTAATCAAGGAGCTGTGAAATCGAAGTAAACTCTTAACAGCATCCATCGTACCATAAATTGTCTCACGTTGCACATTTTGGTGCCAGCTCCACAAGCATACTTCATATATTGGACCTCTTTTCACTAATCATTCGCATGAATTGAAACATACAGGGCGACATGCGGATGATGTCCGACAAGATCTATTTGATAAGGTAGCCAAAATGGTCTGAGAAACAATCTCAGTGTTTGTTTAAGTTCCTATTTGAAACAAATATATACAGCGGCACCATTTCTGTCTACAAGTAAAAACAAAAATAAGGCGCTCTTTATTCCTCGCATCTGCACGAGCTGCACAATTCCTACCTTTGCCATACAAGAGTGCGTGCAACAACATCGGCTGCGAGGCTCACGACGTCATCTAGCTCGATACAACGAGTCAACCCGTCAACAAGCACAAAAAATGCAGCGTGAAGATAATGTATGGTGTTTCTCGGCGATGTATCGGCAAGATATATAAGAACATGTAATCTTATATGTTGCCTCAAACATGGAGCATTAGACAAAACATGGCATGGGTTAGATAATTGCACCGCGAACAAATGAATACGAATTTAAAGCGTCATTTATTCAGGCAATTATGTTAGGACTTTTGACCTGACACTATCAAGCTAAACATAGTGTAGCTTCATTTTCAAGCAATAAACCAAAATTACTGCCGGTCTAGATGCCATCCTTTCGAAGACAAAGTTATCAAGGGTTCTGCAGCAGGTTTGGGAGAATTTCCATCAACAAGAACAAAATTGTCAAAGCTGCTTTAACAAAAGACGAATGCGTCAAAGGACATCTATCGGAAGTTCCTAGATACAGTGCATTCGCTGGTTGAACGCATTCAATCCAGTCCCAGAGGCTCTAAGAATTTATACAAAGCGTACGATTGCGAGCCTAATGAGTTTGGCTTCATTTGATTCGCTTACAACCGAGTAAGCAGGTAGTTAGTCTGGCACAACTGCTCACACTCACATGATGAAGCGATCGCATCTAAACAAGTCATAAAGACTTCATAACCCCTTAAAGAGTGATACATGTTGAAAAGTATATACTATAATTGTAGCGGTGGTGTACACGAAACTTTGACGGCTCCAAAATCGAGCCGACCACAATGACCAAGTATGGCGAAGAAACAAGCAACTTGGGTATATGTTGAGCGCTAGCATGCATACCACCAACTAGGCACAAGGCGATGAAGTCACGGCTAAAAAGGCTAATGATTCAGACCGTGGTAAGATAATGTTCAAGACATGCAATTAAAGACAGAACCGTCAAAGCAGCTCCTCAAGTATTCACGATGGCGTAAGAGCTAATAACTTAGACTCATGAAGCAGTAAAACTGATTATACAAAACTTAAACAGACTACCTGATGTCAAAAAAAAGTCGGAGTACAAATATTGGGGCTTATTAGTGCAATATTTAAACTGCACCTGTTCTACACACTACACATATATACTCTATAGATTTTTCATCTATAGAGCAATTGACGTAATTAGTCCATTCACTAAGGCAACACGATCGTTGAGCACTTAGAAAGCAAGGTTACAATAAAAATTCTAGTAAATCATTACAGGGAGGATAGACTGTTTTGCTCCAATCAGGGTCGAAACGGAGAGCCTTTCAGATAAATTGGGTCTAAGCTTCTTCTCAAAAACCCAAATTCATTTTTCTTAGCTAAATCAAAGTAAAAGTGATACTATATGTATGGTATATCAGTGATGACAGTAACCATATGCAGTACATTTTGCTAGGCTTGCGGCATTTGTATCCCGCGTGCTGCTACCGC